TTATCACTTTCCATTAGGTGGGCTGTTAGCTTGTTTGCTATTCTAAGTTGTATAAAAATAAAAAGGCATTAGTAATGAAGAGGGCCTGCTTAGGATTATGGAAAAGAGACAAATTATAAGAACTATTGAGGATAGAAAGGAAAAAATATTGGGACACTTGATACGACACGACGAACTTATGAACATTATAATAGAAGGTAAGATAGAAGGAAGGATGGGAAGAGGAAGACGAAGGCATAGATACGTCAGGCAGATCAAAGAAGGAGTTGGTGTCGTGTCGTATCGAGAGGTGAAGAGACTCGCTGAACATCGTAGTGAGTGGCAAGAGCTCCACTGACAATAGCGCAGCTCTTAAATAGGATAGATTGACACTACTACCATAATGGAGATAGGTAATGTGGACTGAATTCACTGAAGGACATGGCATGTATAGATATTTACTGGGTACAGAGGAATAACACCTGAGTCCACAGGAATGGCAACGCATGGGGGGTATCATGGGCGAAACAGTATACTCTGTTATGTCCATGGTACTGCTCATGTCTATAGGCGACGGTTACCACTTTCCATCAGGTGGGTCGTCAGCTTATTTGCCATTCTAAGTTACATAAAAATAAAAAAAAATAATAAAAAATTAAAAACTTTTTACTTCAATATTTGTAACCATATATGGACATAGTGTTCTGTTTATGCTTGTGAGGAAACGTCTTCAGTAGCGGTCCAGCCAGAGGAGTATTTTATTCATCATCATCATATCAGCCGTTAGCTGTCCACTGTTGAACATAGCCTTCCTCATAAGGAAAGTTTTGCCAGTAGTTGCCACGCTTAACAAGCGGGTTGGTGACCGCAGTTAAGCTTTGGCAATTTTTTAAGAGGAACGCTGTTGCCCATCCCTCGCCCTCCTTTAGTCGCCTCTTACGACACCCACCCACTTTGTAAATATTTCTATAAATATTGATTTTAAAAGATCGTGTCTTTGTAGACAATCTATAATAATATTGATTTATATGATAAGCCCTTCGTCCTTTCTTGCTGGTGTCGTAAGAAGCAAGTAAAGGAATTTATGGTCGAGAGATGCAACAGCGTACCTCTTAAAACATCACCAAAGCTTAACTACAATACAAGTCGGTTATAAACTGGTAATTTCAAAGATTAGCGTATTCAAATAAACAAACTTTTCCGCCTTATATATTAGTATAGATATGTATATAAAATAGTCAATTTTTAAGTTCACCTCAAATTTACTTTCATTGAATTGATTTTGATTCAATATCCACTTTTTTTTAGTACATACGAGTAACTACATTTATCTGTTGATACAAAATGTACGTAATTTATAAATGTCTACCCCAAATATACTTTAGGTGAAATAATTTAATCCATATCCCAATACCTCACTCGAAGCCTGAATCCTAACCTAAAGTCTGTAGTTTGAAATATTTCTAACGTGATTTATACATACTGGTATAACTCCGAGCGATTGCAATCGAGATTTTCCAGCAAGTAAGATATATCCAACCTATCTCAGCTTAAAAACGAAAACGAATATTTTAATAATATTTATTAACCATTTTTATATAATTTTTTGATTAACTATCTCATTTTATCCGCAAAAAAACAGTGGTTACAGTGGTATCATAATATATAAAAAAAAAAACAGATATTACATAGACAATATGAAAAGAAAATGTGGCATTATGTGTCTACAAGTAAGCATTGCCTTATAGTAAACAGTTTTTACCCTATAAATAAAACCAGGTAAAGTAGCTTCAAACGTAACCATTTTTAAGAGCATTGTAAAAATAATTATTAAAATCAATTCGCAATTGACGATATCGTGTAACATAGGCACAGAATATATGGTACACCTCATTTTGAAAACTACAGCTCCTTTTGTAAAAATAAATCTCTTATTTGACAGTACACCTTTTAGAAAAATACTGCACATTTAGAAAATTACAGTTTTTTCTATACAAAAGCAATTCCTTAGCGAATAAAATATATAATCTTTTGGAAAAAGTACAGTTTCTTTTAGAAATCATTTGAAAATATCGATTAATTAACATTTTATAGCCTCATCAGTATTACTGATATATAAGCCAGTTTCATGGCTTTATTGCACCAATAGTTTCTTATGTCTACTGTTCTGTCACCATGGATATTTCTTCTACATTTCCATGAGAATTTCAGGAAAATATTAATGTTACACTATATTACATATCTATTTATCTTTACGTAAAATCCCTTGCGGGGTGGTTGTAGGAGGCCGAGTGTCCAAGACTTCTATTTTTATATACATCTCTTTTTTTTTTCACTTTCATAATTATATAAGCGTATATTTCAAGTTATAAGTTTAAAACATGAGCCATTACAGAGAGTAATATTAATAGGTTTGGGTATAACTTATTAAATTATATCTTATATTGAAATGCTAGCTTAATAGGAGCTTAAAGTTATTAATGCATACACGGCATCACAACAGGAATATATAAGCTCCAGTAAGTGCTTATGTCTGATCGATTATAAATGTAAACTAAAGCTATCGAACAGCAAACTAAGCTACGGGATTTGTCTGCAAGCAAACTGAAGGGATATTATCATTCATTATTGTTTTTTCTCAAAATACTTAGCCGGTACTAAACATAGTTTTCATTACACTAATTTTAAAAATTAATTCAATAATTCTTGTTATTTAATAACTGTTTTATATGTATAAACTAATAGGTAAACAGTTATCTGTACTACTAAAAAGCCTATGTTTATTTCTGTAAGTATGTATTAGGCAATATTATTTATGTTTCTTACAGGAGAGACTTAACCCTAGTATAAGAATCAATGTTAAACTTTGTGCTTATACAAACATACTTTGATAATAAATACATATTTACATGTTTTTTATTTCACTTCTGAAAATTTTGTACGATTTTTATAAAAAAATAAGTTATAGTATTTGTGCTAATAGTACAACCCTGAATACTACATTTGTAGTTAGTTCTTTTTCTAACACCACCTTTCCTATTCAGATTAGCCATTGAACGAATCGAATCACAAATAGAAATCTCGATTTAAAAACATCCAATTCAAAGGTAGACGCGGAGGTGATATCGAACATGCAATACTATTCCGTGCTATTTAAACAAAGAAACAGATATCGGGAGCCCGGAGCAATAATATGTAGATTGTAGGACGAAATTTAAATAGAGAAGTATGGACTATCTGTATTCTGGTTTGGGCGAACGCAAACAAATTCAATATGCATTTATTCGGAACTCCGTGACTGGGCTCATTTAAATAACTTTAGAGGATTTTGCGCCATCTTTCTGGTAGCTCCTGATAAAGTCACGGTTGTAATGTAACAGCGGTTTCGGTGGTATTGAGTTTTCTTTGTCGCTTTTAAGCGACGTGACGTCTGAGGAAGAATAATGAAAGTAACCCAGTTAATTTAATATAACTTTGTTGTTAATATTTAAATTAACTGTAGAGTTGAGTGAGAATAGTAACATTTTATCCAACCGTATTTTCCAGGTGAGAATATTGGTAAGCTGTGAAGTTCACCTAGTGAATTTAAATAAATAAATAATCAGTTGCAGCAGCTCATTAGATTACCAGCACTAAGATTGGTTTCTCCTAGTCGGTCTACTAAAAAACAATGGTCTACTATTACCACAGTATCCATGGAGCGTAGTTCGTTTTGTATTTATCAAGTTTTCTCTCTTTTACTTTAGTATAACGTTGTGCCTAGGCTTTAAATATACGTCACAGGTAAAACTTCATTTGCTACGACAAATCATATGTCACTTCAGCTTTGGATTCTGTGCCTTTTTTTATACAATTTATAATGGCAAACAAGCTGACGACCCACCTGATGGAAAGTGGTAACCGTTGCCTATAGACATGAGCAGTACCATGGACATAACAGAGTATACTGTTTCGCCCATGATACCCCCCATGCGTTGTCATTCCTGAGAACTCAGGTGTTATTCCTCTGTACCCAGTAAATTCACGCTATATCCCACCCTTCAAACCGAAACACAGCCATGCAAACACAACTGCTTTACGGTTGAAACACGAATGGGACAGAGGTACCCAAGCAATTGACTTTTGTACAAAGTCTCCCTCTGCCTATAATTAACACAAATCTCAGATGGAACCATCGAAGGTAATGTAGATTTTCGTTATAGTAAATAATTACGTTACTTCACTTATATTTTACATTACGTTTACACCCATGCACGCACACAAGCACGTCCGCACTCAAGTACACACGTAAGTACACACGCATGCACCCACGCATGCAAACTATCAATTTACACCACCATCAATTAATCAGTGGTCAAATACAACTATATAATCCTTGAGGTCTTTTTGAACATGATATTGAAGAATAAATTTTGAAGATTCGGAATGAAAAATGACACTTCATAATAAGATTATTTTCATTTATACTATTTGTATCCGGTTTTAACTTGTCTTGCAGAATATTGTAAGTCCCCCTGTAAGGGTAGCCACAAGCCCTACAGCTTTACGATACCATAAACTGGTGAGTCTATTAATTTTACGATTTGAATTTCATCACTGTTTCCTTGAATTCTACTTTCAGTTATCTTTATATTTGTTTTACGACACGTACAGATGAGATTTGGAATATTAAATTCAATGAGATCACTGCTTAATATCTCAAAATATTCCACAATTTAAAACTGTTTTACCCGATTACGCAACGCAAAGGGAGATAAATAATTATCTCCCTTTGCGTTGCGTAATCTATAAAGTATAATCTGCGTAATACTATAAAGTATAGAATATTACTACAAAACATTTAAAATAATATTTTATTCATTTCATTAAAAAAAGCTATTTCACCTAAAAAGAACATATTTAAACATTATTCTTATTTTTATATTATTAATAAATCTTACAAATCTTAACATATATATATATATATATATATATATATATATATATATATATATATATACACATATAATACCTAATATAGTAATATGTATGTAAATTCTCTCTTATTTTAGATCTATTGCTAAGACGTTAAATGAAAGGGGAGCCTAAATAAAATATAACCATGTTATTTCCCAGTAAAATAATCTTTCTGAATTAATCTGGTATTGCGCTTCTGATTGTTACACTTTGAATGTTAAATTTTAAGCAATGACGTCGTCTTTTACATTGTCCGTTATTTTAATAGGTACATTAGGTATTTAGTGTTTTTAGCTGAGTATCTAATAGTGTAATACTGTATTCAAATTCTCATCGTCGTGATGATTACCATAATCATAGTGTTCCACTGCTAACTGTGGATCTGCTTATATAATTTTGTTTTTATCTTCTCTTTCAACAGCGATAGTTTTGTCTTTAATCTTCTCTAAGGATATTGTCTAGAAGAAAGAGACTGATGGCATGAAATATATATTAATTGTCTTTACACCAATAGCTCGGTGAATGATACTAAAATAACTTTGAAATCAGTCATATATCTTTCGGGATTCAATTCGTTCTGCTTCTTCCATAGTATCTGGTAGTTTGGTGCCTAACGTTTCTGGTGTAGTAAACACAAGAAATCCTGCTAACAAAGCAAAACTGGCAAACAGCACTGACGGAAACGACTCCCATATCTCTGACGCCTGAGAACAAGGAAAACATTATATTTACCTGACTTCAAGAAAGTCATAATTTATTCATCATCATAATATTATACTGAGATTACACTGCAGTATATTTATATTCCATTTTTTTCTAAAAGAGCGCAATGTTTGCTTTAATACATAACAAAAGTTTATAATTTCTAATAAATATATCTGAAGCTAAGCATTTTATAATAAATAAAACAGTTTTATAAAAAAAAGAGCAGTTTCACTATGTTTTAAACTATTTAAAAACAATTTTATTAAAAAAAAAACACACCAAAAAACTAAATAATATTAAAAGACATTAAAAAGTTTATAAACATAATTCTTTTTTTAAAAAAAATGGAAAGGAGATAATTGTACTATCAAGGTATAGTCTAACATTTTACTTACAAGAGCAGGCGTTAGGGGTGCTGCGATAGTACCAATTCTTCCGACCGTGGAAGGAAAGGCGAATAATCTGTGTCTGTACTTTGTGGGAAAGAGCTCTGCGGTGTGCACATAAGTTGACGTCGTTGCTATTACGATGCTGTACTTGCTAAGTAGGTAAAGAACCAATGAGAGCTTCTCCTGACCTTGAAAACATAAACATTATCATCATCATCTTCCTACCCTTATCCCAATTATTATTTGGGGTCGGCGTAATATGGTTTTATCCATATCACAAAAAGATTTGGTTTTTTTAGTTTTACGACCGGCCGCCTGCCTGACGTCAACCCTCTTTGGGAAATTATTATCCTCTCTCATAAACATTATCAATCGATATAATTTTAATAATTCAGGAACCTTATTTCAAATTTTTAAGATCTTAATAGATTTAAGTTACATAGCTTTAAACTGATCTGATTTGTAATTTTAGTACTAGTTCGTAGAACAGCTAAATTTAATCTATAAAATTGTCTACGAGTAGTTTTTCGTGCTCATAATAAACTCTAGCTTGATCAGAAATTGTAAAAGTTTTTAACAGTGGTTATATTGTTAGTGACGATAAAAATAATATCATAAATAACTTATCGTTTGTTTACAAATTTACAACAGACAAATTTACTAATTGTTGACAATTTGAAAAGTACATGCAACGGTATAATTTGTGCAAGATACTTCTTGCATTGTTACGCAAAAAAAATATCACTTGTCTTATTTTATGATGTTTTGCGCTATCTTATATGACACAACATAAAGATAAAATATTATAACATAACAAAACCGCATCGTGTGCTACTGTTGATAACTACATCATTGAACTTGACGTTGATTGCATCAATCTCAGAGATAATCTGTATTAGATATGTCATTCAACTGAAATACGTAAAGATAAATCCTTATCTCTCACTCTCATTATCATTACTATTTAATATTATCCAATACTAAATAGTAATAATAATGAGCGGTCTGCCAGCAGATTTTTGTTTATGCAACTTAGAATGGCAAAGAAGCTGACAGCCCACCTGATGGAAAGTGGTAACCGTCACTTATAGACATGAGCAATACCATTGACGTAACAGAGTATATTGTTGATGCCATGATACCCCCCATGCGTTGCCATTCTTAAGGACTCAGATATTATTCCTCTATACTCTGTAAGTTCACTGCTTTATCCTACCTTTCAAATCGAAATACAGCCATGCAAACATAACTGCTTCACGGTTGAAACACGAACGGAACAGAGGTACCCAAGCAAATGACTTTTGTACAAAGTCTCCATCTGATGATTGATTCAAATAATTATTAGAATGTATTTTGGAAATTTGCAAATAAACCGAAGTAAATAATAAGAAAGCAAAGATATGTACATCATACGAGATACTATATAATATATACGGTAATATATTAAATTTTACAGAGATAGAGTCAAAGTGATGTTGAAGTATTCTGAAGTAAAAATCATCATTATACTAATACTAAAATTTTACGATTTATTAATCGACAGAAACGATGAAAAACGTGAATTTTGTGTGGGTCCTTACTTAAAATGTTTATATTATCTTCGTTTACACAAAGATTTACATACTAAGCTACTTTAAAAAGAGCAATTCTTTAAATTTACCTTCTGGCAAAAATGCAATAGTTAATTGGCAAGTAGCGCATAACCAAAATCCAAACATCAACATCGGTTTTCTTCCAACGCGATCCAAAAGCATTATTGCTGTCCAGCATCCTGGTATTTCTATAGCTGTCACTAATATATAATTCAAGTACTGATTGCCCGTCATGTTAAGAGAATTTATAGACAATCCGTAATATATCAAATTTGTTACAATCCAGATTATTGGCAATACGATGCAACGTATTAACATTGTACGAGATTTTATTACTAGAATCGGTAGCCATGGCTCTTTTGTTTCCTCTGTATTCCTTTGTGCTTCCAGAGTTATTTTTAATATTTTCATAGACTTTTCCGATAGCTGTTTATTATTTAGTTTAGACGCTTTTTTGAGAATTATTTCGGCTTCATCGTAGCGGCCCTTGCTTAACAACCACCGGATTGACTCTGACATAATCCAAAAGTAACCAACTATAAGAAACTGGGGTATATATAGTACTAATAAGAGGGGCCGCCATGATTTCACACCCCAAGCAATGAATCCGAGAATCACCTCTCCTGTTGCAAACAATGATGACATTGTGACGCCGGATATAACTCTGTATTTTGGACCAACTAACTCCATTGCTGCAAGTAAAAAGATATTTATAATTATAATATTGAATGATTAATTAGTTTAATATTAATATTTTAAAATCTAATGACATGCTTAGAATATTATTAGTATTACTCAAAAAAAAAAAAAAACTTTATAGTTTGGTATCTTTGAACGTGTGATTTCAAGTTTTTATTTTGCATAACTGCTTACTTATAATGTTTGTACTACTATAATGTTTATTCTCACTCACTCTAAGTTTAAATTAGCTGATTGTAAGTATTAGCAATGTCATGTGCATTAGTTAAATCCTATTTTTATTTGTGTATACCTATAGTTAGCTTTTTATCTTTAATGTCTATTTTATTATGAAATTTTCTAGCTGTTGGTTTTTCTGTAATAAAAAAAATCAGATACATTTGTTTTTTACTAATTCATGTAAAATAGTAAAAAAATATTCAATACCTAAAATGTAGCATGCAGAATATGCGCCGGCGCCAGTAGCAGCTTCCAATACTTCTAAAGCAACAAACCACTCATAAGTATTAACAAAGGAACGTATAATGCCTACCAAAGCGGCATTGGTAATACTAATGATAAGTGCCACACGTCGACCCCATCTGTCTGACACATATCCAGTAAGGGGTATTGCTATCAGTTTACCAACAGAACTAATAGAACCAATTTGCGAGCGACGCCACTCATTGCATCCCAAATCAAACTGAAATAATTCAAAAAAATATTACTAAAACTTAAAATCTACATAATAAGTGCATGATTCCTTTTGAATTTATTGTAGATGAAGAATACAATAACGGAACGTACTAAATATTATTTATTATCTTACTAATAATAAAAAAGGGGAGTTTTATTAAAATATTTGTATATTAAAGAAATAAGCATAAACAGCTGAATGGATTTGATTTAAATTTGATATATGGGTAAGTTAGGTTATTCAAACTTAACAGATGGTGTTGTCCAAACTTACAATACATGTTGTTCAGTATATTTTTTTATTTGAACGAGCAAAGCCATTAATTAAGAACAGGTAGTGTATTTATAACGCTGCTATTAACGCTTGGCAGCCATACACGTAATCTGTGAGTTAGTAACGTGAATAGTCAATAACATCATGTAAAAAGGGAAAACCCGCTTTATGTCTATGTTATTAAATTAAATTACTTACTTCATAAACAATGGTGTGTGAATTTTCATAGACATACTCGTCGCAATTGATTATTGTTGTATTGAACCACCAAGCAGGACAGACTTCATCAGTGGATGTATTATTATTGCTATCAGCATATCTCGAGCAACCGTCGAACGAATCTATGCTGCTACCGGGAATAGCATTCAGTACCCACTGAGGGCGAAACTCGGGGTTTAGCTGCTGGCCATCACATTGAGGAATTCGACATCTGTAATATATTTCTGTGTATAATTTAATTTCATAATTTACTATCTTTATCCCGCGACTTCGGCCATACTTGTATCATAATATTGAATACCTTACTCAAGTTATCCAATTCAAAAAGATATTTTCAAATCGGACTTATTGTTACAGAGATCAGTGCATTCAAACAAATAATTAAACATTTTACCGAACTAGGTGTTATCTTACGGAAATCCATATCACTGGTTATTTCATTAGGATTATGTCGGCTAAAACAAAATATTGCAAAACGTGCGTAAACAAAACTTAGTCATAATATGGAATAATAGAATAGCTAATATGGAAGATTATGGGCCTTCTAGTAGTAACAGTGTTGGTCAATCTTCGAGTGTTAACAAGCACTAATGATAGCGGAATTAAACAAAATAATTCTAATCAAATAACCAATAATTAAATTAGTATACGTGTCGATAGATAAATCTTAATTTTTAAATAACTCCTGTATATATTCTGATATTTCCAACTTCTATTTGGATTTCTACTTTCTTTTTTACACAAACTGTTGTGTATAAGATGTCCAAGTTAAATTTGTACAATTAACTCTCACATTAAAACAAACAGAGTCTGATAACGTAACTCGTTATACTTTTTAACATGCTCATATTTTAGTTACATTTATTCCAGTTTATATACTCAAATAAATCTTTAAAATATCATGCCACAATAGTAAGTATCAAAAAGACGAACTTTTGTCTGCATATATATTAATAATAATTATTTTTTTACTTTTAAAATAAAAAAAAAATTAAAAATTAAAAATAAGTTTAAAAGTAAAAATGTTGAAAATTTTCTTAACTTTTACTTTCAACATTTTTACTTTATTTTTAACTTTTTTTTTGTTTTATCAATAACACCTAATTGTGTAATAACTGTCTGTAAATATGGTTTACATGTGAAGCAAAATAGGCAAGTTAATTACCTGGTTGGGATCCTGGCTGTCGTGAAAACGTATCCGCCAATAGAAAAAGCCGCAAATATTATTGGAAATATCAATAATACTAATGTGATCACTTGAAAGCGGCCAAATTGACCAATTTCATCGATTAGAATCTGATCTAGATCGACACCTTCTTTTCGATCCTCATTTTTATCGTTGATTTTATTATCAATAGACACCATACTGTACACAACGACTTCGCATATACGTTTGTGGATTTAACACACAAATAAGATTTCAAACGATTTGAAGATAATGTTACGTATATCTCGAGTACAGATATCGATGAGACACCCACTTCTCATAAGTCATACTCGTCCTAATCATCAGTATGCTGACCTGAGATCTTAATATTGTTTATAATTATTCCTCTCCATCCAAATGTTGCCTGGAAGAGATCGGTCTTAGCGATAAGGTCGCCCATTGTTTTCTCATTCTGATTATTTCTTGTAATTTTTTTAATTTATAATAAGTTTACTATTGTAATCTTTTGGAGGAAACAATAAAGAGTATCTATCTATCTTCTTAATTATTTATATAACCATATTCATATCTGCTGTTAACTGTCCAGAACTGAACGTAGGCATCGCCTATAAGGAGGTTTTGTCAGTACTTGCCACGCTAGGTAGGCGGGTTGGCAAGTGCTAACTGGTTCATTGATAACAGGTTTAACATCAAAATTGGTTTTGGATGATGTTTCAAAAGGGACGTTGTAAACCATCTCTTGGCCATTAAATTTTCCGGAGGCCCATCCTATACCCATCCCCTTCCTTATCCTAAAATCCTCCCCCAACTCCGTCCCCCTATCTTTCAATACCATGGCAGTGGAATTTAAAAAAAATAACGTACCCCAGGGAGGTACCAGCAGCCATGTTGCTGGAGAATCCTCCCTCGAGCAACCACGCTCGGGCTGCCCTGCGTATTCTGGGGGGGGGGGGGGGCAAAATTCCGCTCTATGGGACCAAGGGCAAACAGAGCAAGACTTCTGCGGCATCCCCTTTGCTCAATGTGAGCCTCTGTAATATTAGGGGAATTCATTCAAACCTGAACGCTGTCCACCACCACCTAGAAACGGCGCGGCCGGCATTGCTCTTCCTCACGGAGACACAGATATCCCCTCCTAACGAAACATCATACCTGACCTACCCGGGGTATAAGCTTGAACATTGTTTTGTTTCGCGTGCCGGTGTATGTGCGTATGTCAGAGAGGATATCTGCTGTCGACGCCTTGGGACTCTTGAAGGTACGGACCTGTCCATTCTATGGCTGCGCGTAGATTGCAATGACCATCCCCGCATCTATGCGTGCCTATACAGGTCCCACAGCGGTAACACTGAAACCGACCAACTAATTGAACACGTCCAAATGGCTACAGATTCCCTGCTTGGGCAGATTCCTTCCGCTGAAGTCGTGATTGTTGGCGACTTTAATGCCCACCATGCCGAATGGCTTGGTTCGCGTACAACCGACTATGCGGGAAGATCTGTTCATGACTTTGCTTTGGCTTATGGTCTGACACAGCTTGTTTCCTCGCCTACGCGAATCCCTGATGTGTTGGACCATTCACCTTCACTGCTGGACCTTCTGCTGACCACCCACCCAGACAACTATGTGATCTCCGTCGAAGCCCCGCTTGGATCGTCGGATCACTGTTTGGTGCGGAGCGAAGTGCCTCTTACGAGTCCGACTCCACCTCGTTCTACGGGTAGACGTCGCATTTGGCACTACAGGTCGGCAGATTGGGATGAGATGCGGATTTTTTTCGCATCTTACCCATGGAGGCAGGTTTGCTTCACACTGGATGATCCCGACGCCATTGCCGATTCCATTGCTGATGTGGTGCTTCAGGGAATGGAATTATTTATTCCTAACTCTGTGGTGCCCGTCGGCGGGAAATCCCAGCCCTGGTATGGAGCCTCCTGTAGAACAGCATCTCGTCTGAAACAGGAGTGCTTCCTAACTTGGGCTAAAGGTGTGGCGTCGCGAGATCCTAACACCAGTGCTCTTAAAAAGAAGTATAACTCTGCCTCTAGGTCTTTCAAAAGAGTTATAGCCACAGCGAAGTCAGAGCATATTAGTAGAATTGGCAAGAGACTGGCTAGTTTGCCCTCTGGGACTCGAGCTTTCTGGTCTCTTGCCAAAGCTGCACAAGGGAATTTCTGTAAGTCATCTTTTCCACCTTTGCGCAGGGAGGATGACTCGTTGGCCCAGAACGCTAAAGAAAAGGCCGATCTTCTTGGATCCATCTTTGCGTCAAACTCGACATTGGATGACGGGGAGAAACCACCACCGACCATCACGTGTTGTAGGAGCTCTATGCCTGACATTAAATTCACGCATAGCTCAGTGCGTAGAGCACTTTTCTCTCTCGAAATCCATAAGTCGAGTGGGCCTGATGGTATTCCTCCAATTGTGCTTAGGACGTGCGCACCAGAGTTGGCTCCGGTTCTTACGCGTCTTTTTCGGCTTAGCTACTCATCGGGCATAGTCCCAAAGTTTTGGAAGACTGCTCTGGTGCATCCGATCCCTAAAAAGGGAGATCGCTCAGATCCAGCTAACTATAGGCCCATAGCTATCACTTCCTTATTCTCGAAGGTTATGGAATCCATCATTAACCGTCAACTGCTCCGGTACCTAGAAGAGCACCGGCTGATCTGTGATCGCCAGTATGGCTTTCGACAGGGACGTTCGGCCGGTGATCTTTTAGCTTACTTAACACACCGATGGGCAGTGGCAATCGAGAGTAAGGGAGAGGCCTTAGCAGTTAGTCTGGATATTGCGAAGGCCTTTGATCGGGTGTGGCATAGAGCGCTGCTTTCAAAGCTACCTTCATTTGGGTTGCCTGCGAGACTGTGCATTTGGGTCGCCAGTTTTCTCAAGGAACGTAGCATTAAGGTCGTAGTCGACGGTGCATGCTCTGATTTAAAACCTTTGAATGCTGGTGTCCCGCAAGGCTGTGTACTATCTCCGACTCTGTTTCTTCTGCATATCAATGATATGTTACAGATAAGTAATATTCATTGCTATGCGGACGACAGTACAGGAGATACATTATATACCGGTCATGCAAAGATCTCGCGGGCACATACCGATGAGTGCCGGAATAGACTTGTGTCTGAAATCGAAACTTCACTCCATCAAGTTTCGATCTGGGGTGAACAAAATCTTGTCCAATTTAACCCCAAAAAGACACAAGTCTGCGCGTTTACCGCAAAAAAGACGCCGTTTGTCGTATCTCCTCACTTTCAGGGCACTTCCCTTGATAAAAAGTCAAGTCTAGGAATTCTGGGCGTTGATATATCTTGCGACGTCCAGTTTTGCGGTCATCTGGAGGAGAAGGCTAAGATAGCTTCCAAAAAGTTAGGAGTGCTCAATAGGGTGAGACGATATTTCATGCCAGAACACCGCCTGAAATTATATAAAGCCCAAGTCAGGCCGCATATGGAATACTGTTCTCACCTGTGGGCAGGAGCGCCACAGTACCAACTCCTTCCGTTAGACCGCATTCAAAGTCGGGCGGCTCGAATTATCGATAGTCAACGCCTTACTGTCCGACTTGACCCATTGAAACTGCGCAGAGATGTTGCGTCTCTGTGCATCTTCTACCGAATTTATCATGGGGAGTGTTCTGAGGAATTGTTCGGATTGATACCTGCTGCTGATTTTCACCACCGTACAACCCGCCACAAACTAAAGTTTCATCCCAATCATCTGGACGAGTGGCGGTCTTCCACCGTGCGTTTTTCAAGGCACTTTCTTCCACGCACAACCATTCTTTGGAATCAACTTCCAGCAGCAGTATTTCCGAACCGATACGACAACATAACCTTCAAGAAAAGAGTATATTCCTTTTTAAAAGGCCGGCAGCACACCTGCAATGCCGCTGGTGTTGTGGGTGATCATGGGCGGCGGTAGTCACTTACCATCAGGTGAGCCGCATGCTCGTTTGCCCCCTGTGTTGTAAAAAAAAAAAAAAAAAAAATTACTTAATTAATATATTAACCTAAATATATGAAAATATAAGAAGATTATTACCGCTAACATTATGCCAGAATAGGGGGAAGAAATTGTTAGTAACGAGAATTAGTAGCCCTATTGCTAGCAATATTCTCTGTCAGGTCAACTTCCTCGCGGTCTCCCTCTGGTAACCACTGTACTAAATTCCGTATGAATTCATCACGATGGGCTAACCGACCTAACTCCTCATAAGGATGAGGGGTATGGTATGTAAATATGATAGGTGAGGACCATCATCCCTCACTTAAAGCGAGGTTACCATTCAATTATTACTCAATAAAAGAAAACAATTGAAATAAACTTATATTTTAAAAATAACCTAAAACATAATACCCCAAACAAATAAACCTAATTTTATATGATACAAATACAGATACAAAATCTAATAATCTAACAAATCTATGAATTACCAATAATACTAATGTGATCACTTGAAAGTTACGTATATTATATATACATTACTTATAATAATAATAATAATATAAGCCTTTATTCAGACATTTTTTTTTAAAACAACTTATTATTTATTTAATTGCTGTTGTCTGTTTGCTTATTAGCAAAGGCCTCCTCCAACTGTCTCCAATGGTCTCTACGAGTATTGCTAGCAATTCTTGTCCAAATACCCCCTGCTTCAGCCCTAATGTCATCTACCCATCTTCTATGTGGTCTTCCTCTTCTCCTTTTTTTGTCTTTCGTGTACCGACATTACTTAGTGTTATTAAAATACTAAAAACATTCTGCAATATGGCAAATGAAATTTTTTTTTTTTGGAATTACGAGAACGGGATGATCTTCTTTCTGCTAGAGAGTATTTCTTTTTTTTTTTTTTAAAAAAAAGTAATTTTCAATACAGTTTTATAGATAGTTGATATCATGATATATATCTATTATATTATATAATATATATACATTATATAATATAAACATTTCTGAATTTATATTGAACATTTAATGCCACAGACTAGGAATTTTAAAAGCGGTGTGCATTAATCTAACAAAAAGAAATATTATTAATAATGCATAAAACCCCCAAAAATACTTATCATATTTTTATCTGGCACCACGTGATCGAAAACGATCTGGAACATGTGATGATGTAACATGAAAGTAAACAACATGTATGTCATTAATGTTTCATTGCTTTTTTGGTAGCGGTGTACGAATTATTTGAATTCGCGCAATTTCCTTATTTGAATAATTAATACGTAATTACTAATATTATTACTCGACTGTTAAATAACCGAAAACTTGGAAACGTATTCTAACGTCAGATTGGTAATTAAGATTATATAATCGAAATGTTAACTTAAAATATAATTTTAAAACTATGTATACGTAAGTAATGATGTTTAAATAAATGTACTAATATCAAAATGATTTTCACAAAAGAAAACAATTGAATCGTTCACTATACAGCATTAAGATTTCTGCATGTTACGGTGTTTATTTTTCGACACACTAATAATTAATTTTTGTTTCTTGGGAAACAGGAAAAATTAACAAAAATTAATACTGATCAAACTTGAATATAACACTCAATAATTGTTTACTTTCATGCGACGGCATTGATGCCATATTACCCAAAGTTGCGTTTCAACGGCTTATTTAAATTGGACTTTTTTATTTGCTATCTTTTTTCAAAAAATACTTATGTGAATTAAAAATAATCACTTTTTGGGGCTGTATATATACTATTGAATAATTTGAGATTATTTCAAAATTCAGTTCATTTGTTGCATGCTAGGGCAAATATTCCGTGTATATGGTCACGCTTACTAAGTTCTGAAGCAGACATTCTTATAAAATCCAAGATAGACGCATTGTACTTTATTCATCTAACATTATACTATAAAATTACTCTACCAGAGAAATAAGTCGCCTAATTTCTAAAAAAATATATCCCACCACACCTAACAGGAAAGTGCTTGAATATAATATCAATTATAAATTAGATTTTGAATGAAAATAGTGTCAAAATTTCTATAGAAAATTTACTATTGCATTGATTTTAAAAATTGACCGGCAATTTATCTTTTCTGAGTATTTATCTAGAGAAAAACTGTCTAGTCATATCTATGAGAATAAAATCTCGACATGACGATTTGACATTTAGTAATGCAAACAAAGGTGTATGTCAAAATTCTAAAAGAATATTGAATATTGATAATATAATATAATTCTGTAAGTAACTTATTGAATTACATCAACATTCTACTTCAAAATATAAATAATTGCATACAATAAAACATTTTCAGTACATACCGACCCTTGTAAAGCTTTAAATAAGGTGTATCTTTGAATATTGTCATAAACTTATTTGAATTACATATATAAATAGATATATAAATAATAAATCGTATCTTATATTCATAACAAAATACAAAAAATGTCTGTAAGCAGTTTAGATTAGAGTAGCTATTTACTGACATTTGGTGTTCCGCAGGGCTCAATAATAGGTCCCTTGCTATTCTTAATATACGTTGTTAATATTAGTGATTATTTTTAGCACTATAACTTTTTGTTTCAATCTCTGCTACTATATGTATATCTTATACTATATCAAAAGACTTAAAAAAAATACTACTCCTGCTTTCAGTTATCTTGGGTATTATACGTACACATTTATAATATTAATTAGTAAATAGGTCCGGTTTCGCACAACTGGATAGAATGTCCAAAGTAATATATAATCTATTTTACTCGCTGATAATGTAACTTTCTATAGGTAAAAGATTTTTAAAATCTGTTGAGCAATATTTTAATTTATTAATTATAAGCCTACAGCCACTTTTCGTTCGTCATGATTTCGCTCGCCATTGCCAGGGAATACATCCTCATATCCTAAAATCAGAATGGTCACACACAGTGCGGTTTTAGAGAAACTTCTTCCCGTAAACACTCAGGTTGTGGAATGATCTTCCTGCCAAGACTTTCCCTAGAGACTACAGCGTGGGATCTTCAAAAAGGACATATTATAGTTTCTTAAGGGCAATCAACACGCGCGTGACATCCTTGGTGTTACAGGCGTCCATAGGTTATGGTTACTCCGTTTACCATCAGATGGGTCGTATACTTGTTTTACTAAAGTAATATAAAAAAAAAGACAAACAATCTTTCCTTTTTGTAATATTAGTACAGATTAAACAAGGTCTTTAAGTAGTCTACAATTGTAAAAAAGTAAATGCTTATGACATATTTTTAAAAAATATTTTATTCAGTCATATAAAAATAACCATTGACACAACTATTGAAAAGTACATTATTCTTGGGTTCTTTTATTTTTCCATCTCACATAATTAACAATATTAAAAAATACATTCTAAGTATGTTTAAATTACTAGTAATTTAAGCGTCTCTGACGTTGACAAAAAAATCAGTAAGTAAACATACAATATAAAAAAGAAATTGTATATCACAGTATCCTATCTAGAAAGGAAATAATTTTAAAATCAGGCTTGTATTTTCCTGGATTCGATTTGTTCTGCTTCTTCCATAGTATCAGGTAGTTTAGTGCCCAGCGTCTCTGGTGTAGTAAATACTAGGATACCCGCCAATAAAGCAAAGCTTCCAAACATCACAGACGGCAACGATTCCCATATTTCCGAAGCCTGGGAAAAAAGTAACAAAAAAAAAAATAAAGCACTTTGTTTATCATAAAAAAACGTGACAATAACATAACGCAATAGTTTTATTAATAATTACTAGCTTTTACCCGCGACTTCAATCGGGTGACCGGGATAAAAAGTAGTCCATATCCTTCCTCGACCCATAAAGTACGTGCATACCAAATCTCATAGTGATTGGTAAAGCCGCTAAGGCGTTATAAAGCAAACAAGCTCACTTTCACATTTATAATAAGTAATGACATAAATAAGCATGATAGAAAATTTACAACGTATGGAAAAGTAGTAATACATGCTTTAGATATAAGTTTTGATGTTCTAAACATCAATTATTGTGTTTGTGCATTAAATTAATAGGACTTATGACTTTCCACGTAATAATTATAACGGTACTCATTGTATTGTATTGTATTCTATTGTATTGTAAAATCTGTATTGTACATAATTTATGTGCATACTCATATTAGATGTAGTTATTAAACACATTTTTTTAAATTATATCAGAAAAACTGTAATAACATTGTATTGTTTTTAAATCATTAAATTTCAAATTCTAATCACCTCATTCATACATACATGTACTAGTTTACAAGCACTTTTAAATCGTAATTTTTTATGAATGTCTATATATATATATATATATATATATATATATATATATATATATATATATATATATATATATATATATATATATATATATATATATATATATATATATATATATATATATATAAAATATTATCTAAAATAAGCCTAACTGCGGTTGCCAACCCGCATGCCAAGCGTTGCAACTATTGGCAAAACGCCCCTGATGGGGAAGGCTTATGTCCAGCAGTGGACAGTTAAATTGTTACAATTAAACGGCTGAAATAATGCTCATGTAACAAAATAAATAATAATTATTAGAGAGGAAAAAAATTACTTACAAGAGAGGGCGTAAGGGGTGCAATTATAGTACCCAATCTTCCAACGGTAGCTGGGAAGGCAAACAATCTATGTCTGTACTTTGTGGGAAACAATTCTGCGGTGTACACATAAATTGAACTCATCACTATTGCAATGCTGTACTTTCCAATTAGGTAAACAACCAATGAGAGATTTTCCATACCTAGAAAATGTATATATTTTGATTAAATCAATTTCAATGGTAGTGATTTATTGAATAGCGAAAATATAATGATAATACATACAATCTACAAAATAATATAATGGTTAAAGATTTTTAACATTATAACTATTATTTTTAGTCATTAATATTAGTATAATTGTAGTCCTGGCATAGAATAGAAATGGGGTAGAGAAACTTAATGGTCGAGGGTTTGACAGCAGCATCGTTATTAAAGCATCAACAAAAGCCTAACTGTGCATGCCAAGCGTGGCAACTACTACCAAGCTGTCCCTTATAAAGGAGGCTATATTCAGCATCATCATCATTTCAGCCATTATTCATTCACTGGTAGGCATAAGCCTCCCTCATAGACCGCCATAAAGAATGGTCCTGAGCCACCTGCATCCACCGATTCCTTGCAATGTCGTCTCGTTACTCCATCTAAAAGAGGGTCGTCTGTTCAATCGGAATGTTCGGCAGTGGACAATTTATGGTTGATACATGATCATTATACTCACAATTAACGAGTGACTATTTTTTTTATATGACAAAACAGTGCTTTTATCACGATGTAAAACGAACGTAAACCAAAAAACTTTTGGCCCAATATTAATTAATTTTATTGATATCAATGAAGTTATAATATGATTTTGTACTAAGCTCCAGCATGTGGTATTATTAATTTGCATAGGTTTTATCTCCGGGCTGTCAATCTTGGTGATAAACTGCAAGACTGTTATCGTTCAACAGCGATAAGAAATTTAGCACTAATATTATGCTATGTATAAAGTCTTAAGTATTAAAAAACTTTTTAATGTGAATATATGAACGTAAGAAGGCCATAATTGGAATAAATTTCATTTATTTTGTAACAGATTGAAATAAATATCGAATGAATTGACCGCTGTCTAGATATTCCAAAAAATAAGACTACCCATTGTCTGGACGATATTGCCTAACAATGAAGCTGCCTTTTGTACGATTTCTCATTTAAATGTACTGTTTCTATAAATGGCACAAGTTTAAAAACTAATAATAAATAAGATTATTTTAAATTACGTAATGTTATTTACTTTAAATTGAATTTAAAGTAAAAATAGAGCATCATAGTGATAAATTTGTACAAATTTCAACAATTTATTATTGCTTTGTTATTATTTGTTATTGTGCAACAGCGCCCTTTGTGCATACAAAGTAACTAACTTTCTTATAATTAAAATATTTATAAAATAATTTAAGATTAAAATTTTATTTACCATCAGGCATGAATACAACAGCGAATTGGCATGCAGAGCATAACCAATAACCACAGATCAACATTGATTTTCTTCCTATACGATCCAACAGCAAGATGGCTGTCCAATACCCTGGTATTTCTATTGCCGTCACAAACACATAGTTCAAGTACTGGTTGCCCGTCAGGTTTAAGGAATTAATAGATAGACCGTAGTATATCAATGTCATTATGATCCACAATATCGGCAACACAATACAACGCAATAGTATTGCGCGAGATCTTATAACCAGAATCGGTAGCCAAGGCTCTTTTGTTTCGTATTTATCATTTTGTGTTCCTGCAGTTGCTCGTAATATTTTTATAGACTTTTCTGATAATTGTCTCTTATTTATTGTGGATGCCTTTTCAAGAATTATTTCAGCTTCATCGTGACGGCCCTTGTTTATCAACCATCGAATAGATTCTGGCAGTATCCAATAGTAACTTATTATTAGGAACTGGGGTAGATATAGTACTAATAATAGGGATCGCCATTGTTGTACAGCCCACGCTGTCAAACCTAAAGTCACTTGTCCTAAGGCAAACAGTGACGACATCGTAGCACCGGTTACTACTCTGTATTTAGGTCCAACTAATTCCATTACTGCAAATAAAGAAAAATGTTGTTATCACTGAACAAGTGTAATATAAAAACAATAAGATTATTACAAAAATATTATATAAATAACTTATGTTAATTTTTTAACCAATTATGTATATTTTAATTATTAGAACTTACACATTACGTCAAAATAACTTACAAAAATGACAAATATAGTAAAAAAAAAGTATAGTAAATCACCGTTGACTAGTTATATAAATAATTAAACATCCATAAAAACACTGACTTCAATTATTTTGATCTAAAAACTAAAATACAAAACCGATTTTGATAAAATTTCTATATAATCAATCTGTAAGTATACCCTTTCAGACAGAAAAAAAAAGATATTTCCGAATCAGTTTACAACTAACGGAGTTATAAGCTAACTAATATAAAAAAAAATACGACCGAATTGAGAATCTACTTCATTTTGAAGTTAGTTATTACAAAATAACAAAGCTAATATTATTATTTAATTCGATTATATTATTAATTTATAATTTAATTTAATTATATAATAATAATATAATAAAGCCTTTATTTTCTGACCACATTTTTACTTTAACTTACATACTACTTATTACTAAGCTAGCTTTCTAGCAACCATTATGTTGGTCAGGTTGTCTGTCGTCATAGGCCTCCCCCAACTGTTTCCACTTTCCCCTATCCCTAGCTGACTTTCTCCATCCTTTAGGTAAAATAAATTAATTATTAATTTCTGAATATTTCAATACAAATAATGCAACCACATACATACATGTACATGTTGCACAACACTGTATTTTAAGTTAAAATCTCAGTACCTAAAATATAGCATGCTGAATATGCGCCGGCGCCAGTAGCAGCTTCCAATACTTCTAAAGCAACAAACCACTCATATTTATTGACAAATGAGCGCGAGACACCAATCCACGCGATATTAATGATACTAATAACTAGTGACATGCGTCGACCCCATCCGTCAGAGATAAATCCAGCAAGAGGTATTCCGATTAGTTTGCCGAATGAACTGATGGATCCAACCAGCGAGCGACGCCATTCGTTGCATCCCAAGTCAAACTGAAAAAATTTGGAAGAATTATAACAAATTTATTGTAGGTTCTTAGAGATATATAGAAAGAGAGAATAGAGAGACATCAATTGCGAAAAAGGACCTCATGGACGATCCACTATAGTCATTAAAATCACGACCACTCTATCCAGAATGTATGACTGAAGAGAGATAGAGATAGCAATTTTAACATAGAAGTATGTTAGTAAGTATGGAAGTAAAAGATTAACCATTTTTGCATTTATTTTTTTAACGCTCTTTCAATCTGTAATTCTTTCTACCCAAAGGTTCTCTCGATGAGATTGCTTAACAATAAGACTCATTCTTGTACTATACTAATGCTTATTGAAAATCCTTTAACAATTTATATAATATTGATGCAATAAAGTATTAAATAAATAAATAAAGCTAACTTTTCACTGTAATAATTTTTGAATAAATCAGATATTATTTATAGTTGAGTATAAATTGAATATAAATATGTACAAATAGGTATTTAAATTTCTTTAAAAGCTATGATGAAATTTAAATGGATAATAATAATATAAAAAATATTAGAATAATAATTATTATTTTATTATTTAAGTATCCGACTTTTGTTTGTTATTTTTTAGGTATGGTGGAATATTTCAAAAATGGATTGTAATTACATATTTAAGTACAATACCTTTTGCGTAGATATTAGCTCTTTATTAATTTATTGACAAGAACCTTTTATTAGCCTAGTATTCTAAAAATAAGATATTTGAAATTTTCAATCACTCAATAATTATTAGAATATAATTTTTATATTTAACATATAGTAGTATTTCCTTTTTATAGCAATTTTGTTTATACTTGTATACTTTTCTCGCAATATAATAATTAGCTTTAAGTAAAATAAATAAAAAACAAAAAAAAGAAACTATAAATTCAAGTACAGCGAAAGTTTATGATATTTCGTAATTGGCAACAAGTAGCAAAATATCATTTCTAAAACAGTCGTATGTATGAAGTGATAAAAAGAAATGGTTATTCAAGTATACGTTAAAAATAATTTCATTTAGTTATTTTGTTTACATCCGATTCCGAAAACATCGAATTTATTCCATTTAAAAATAAAAAAAATATTTCATTGACCTCTATGCGTGAATCTGAGTTTAGAGTTATTATTATATGTTTATATAATTACTGTAAATTACGTACATCGTAAACAATGGTGAGAGAATTTTCATATACATATTCATCACAATCCACTGTGGTGGTGTTGAACCACCATGGAGGGCAAGTCTCATTAGAGGGTGCGAGATTATTGCTGTCTTCATATCTCGAACAACCTTCGAAGGAACTCTTACTGCTGCCAGGAATAGCATTCAATACCCATTCAGGACGGAATTCAGGATTTGGGACCTCGCCATCGCATTGAGGAATTCGACACCTGGGGCATATAAAATTGGATTATTCTATATTCTATTATTAAGATTCTTTTGCTTAATTTTTATAAATTCTGTTTCATGAGCTTCTTCCATTTTTGTTCTTTTTCCATTTAATATATGCGCAAACTATCCTACAATGTTTTGCTTACTTTTTATATCTACATTTTAAGCCTCTTCCATTATTACTAATAACGAACTGCTAGTCTAATTTCCTAGATTGTTCGTAAAGACACATAATTACATACATAAATAATTGAAAAAAATACCAATACCTTGTAGGAATCCTCGCTGTCGTGAAAATGTATTCGCCGCTAGAAAAGGCCGTAAATACTACAGGTGCAACCATTAGTAACAGTGTGAGCACTTGATAGCGGCCAAACTGACCAATTTCGTCAGTCAATATCTGATCTAGATCGACACCTTCATTTCGATCCTCATTAGGTGACGGATCATCGATTTTGATATTACCAGACACCATACTGTACACAACAACCTCGCGTATGCGTTTGTGGATTTATAATGTGAAAATCTGAAGCGTATAATCGTTTAGACATCTCGAGTAGTTCTCGCGATAATATACGTACTTATAATAAATACGTCAATATTTACCTTACGTATGGAATAAATAAATGAATGTATTAAATGCATGTGCTGGCCGTGTAGTCCCGGCTTAGAATAAACCACCCCTTTTATTCCCGTGGGTGTCGTACAAGCCGGCTAAGGAGGGCGAGGAATGGGCAGTAGCGTCCCTCTTAAAACATCTCTAAAGCCTGACTGCGGTTGCCAACCCGCAGTTGGACAGTTAAAGGCTCATATGATGATGGTAATGATGAATGCATGTATCTGTTACTATTATTACCTAAAGAAATGTAATATAAATTGAGCTCTTTTTCCGCACTAAGTCTCTCATTTGGGCCATATAAGACGTGGCTAGTACAGCTAGCCAAGCTACGTCCAGAGTCACAGAAACTTTCCGGGATCTTCACAAGCCTCACGGAGCGATGTCACTGTTCCAAGGATTTCTGAACGCTGAGAGGCCACAGCTACACATTGTAGTATCACGTGAGCAACTTCGGCGTCAGAATAGGCTCGACATCATTAAGTCGAGGCTGTGAAGAAATAATGACATGACGTTTCAAACTTCAAAAAACAGGAGGCTTTCAATTCCGTTAAATTTTTTTAAATTTGTTACCTCATAACTCCACCAGTTATAAACCGTTTTAGAAAATTCTTTTTTATCGCGAAGGTATACTTACTGATTGTCATAGAAATTTTATCAAATTTGGTTCAAATAGTTTAGTTTCTAAATCAAAATATCTGATTTTGCCACAATTAAAGTAATTTTTTTATGAAACAATCTTGTATATCCAGATGTTAGAAACAGGGTGGTGTAAAAAAATTCTTGATACATTATAATATATTGTACATTAGTACTATTAGTCTAAAATAAATATATTGGACATAATTAAAAAAAAAAAAGGAAAACAGATAATTGAATAATGAAATTATATATGGAATTTAACAGTCAGGGTTTTGGATGTGAAAATGTCATAAAAACCCTGACTGTTTTAAATGTGGACATTTAAAAGTGATGTCATGCGATGTTTTTGCTAATTCTGAATAAATTTTGATATTACTTTTTTTTTAATCTAAATGATTTTATTTTTGTTAAATTAAAAATTAAATTATCTATCTTGCATAAAGATCTTAAAACGTTATATATATTCAATCGGGATTTCCATGACTTTCCAATATAAGAGATGAAAAAGACACTACGAGTATCACAAAGTCTATTAGTTTCAATAATTGATGTAGTATTATTTAACTACCCATAACAAAGGAACATGTACAAATATTACAAATGTAAATAATAAATACATCGATTAGATTATTGAATGGGTTAGTTCTAGATAAATATACTCTAATAAAAGGAATTATCAAGAAATGTTATTATGAGAATTAAAATATGACTTAAGTTTACAATCTAATACCAATCCCGAAAGGAATTTTTTCCAGGACATACACCAGTGAGGAAAAGATTAAAGTCAAACAAGTAGGAAATATAAATTCCGATAAAGAAGCCTCAGATTGATTTGAATTGATTAACTGTCAAATTCTTGCTATCTAAAGATATATATTGTTTCGAATCCGATAAAATCTCGACATGATAATTTAATAGATACTCATGTAAACAAGTAAAGGTTATTACGCTCTCATGTGTTACGTATTATTATGGTAAGTGCATTAACACACACACACACACATTTACGCACACACACTTTTTTTGTTGTTTATTTTTTTTTTTTTTTAATTTAACATGTAGGCTACTGTATTTACATTTTTTAAATTATTGTAGTTTATTAGTATTGTAGTTAGTTGCTAGATATAACAAAAATGTCTTCGTTGATGTAACTAACTACTATACGTTTTAAATGTCTGTTTTGGAATCCTGCAATGAGGAGGAGGGCGTTGATATTCGCGACACAGTTTTATACTTCTGCGGATATCATCGTTTTTCAATAATATTGTAACCAATGTTTTTGTTCCAAATAAAGAATTATTATTATTATTATTATTAAAGTAAGTATAATTTTATTATCTTTATTATATTTATTATATATCAAATATACAGGTTGTGACGAAAAATACTATCTTTGTTTATTCTACTTAGAATGGCAAACAAACTGACGGTCCACTAAATGGAAAGTGGTAACCATCACTTAGAGAAATGAACAGTACCATGGACATAACAGTGTATACTATGTCCTACGCCCATGATACCCTTCATGCATTACCATTCCTGAGGACTAAGATGTCACACCTTTGTATTCTGTTTTTCATTGCCATATGTCACCTTTTAAACAGAAGCACACACTTGCAAACACTATTTGATGACATAATCTAAACTCTTTAGACTCTGCTATGAAGCAATTGTAAATCCAATATCTTGGACAAATTGTTCAATTTTACTAAAACAAGTATTATTTTTAGAGTAAACTAAACAATTTTCTCCAAGGAACGTGGGTCAAAACATATAAACATTACATGTGCCGCCATATGCATATTAAGTCGAATTAATTACTTTGGAAAGTTACTACTTAATTACATAAATAACTGGCTTTAAATTTCACACTACTGAACTCTTTCATTTCACTTTACTTTGTATAAACCAGCATCTATTCGAAACCCAACAATAGAATTTATGTAACTGAATAATATGAAATAAAAAACGTATATGGGCAAAAATATGAAAATTGTATTTCGTAAATCCTGTACAAAATGGATTTTAATGTTTTTTAAAATTTTTTTAGGTACTTTATAATATCAATATGTGACAACCGAAGGTAGTGATAATATTCATGAAACTGAACAACTGAACTATTATTATTATTTCTTGGACAAGTTGTTCAATTGTAAAAATACCATCTATGTATTTCTTTTGTACCAATTTTATTACAACTTATTAATTAATAATTAATTTAATTACATTATATTAATAAGCACTAATTGAAAACCACTGGATTTGAATTTTTTTAAACATAATGATGAAAGTGAGTAACTTCCATCAAATAATAGGGACTGAAACGTACAAAAATTTTTGATTTTTTTTTTATATAAAAACTAGCTGACTCGGCAAACGTTGTTTTACCATATATATTATTTCGAGAACTATACATGAAAATTTATCGTACTACAATTATTATATTCGATTGCTATCTTGTAACCCTATTGCGGCATATAAAAATCGCGATTAAAAAACAGGGGTTGATTGTAAAAGCGTGAAAATTTTAATATGTATGTATTTTTCAATGCTAAGTCATGATAAAATAAAAATAAAAAAATTGTCAAAAAAATAAAAATAAAATATTTAGAGGTGGGTCACCCTTATCATTGAGGGGTATGAAAAATAGATGTTCACCGATTATATATATATATATATATATTCCTTTATATTTATTTATGTATATATCATTTATTGTGTATAGGTATACATTATTCACAGTTATTGTCTTTACCTATTCCAATAACGAAGTATGGCGTTCGTGATATATTGTTCATCCCAAAGGTTGGCTGGTAGAGAATGTTACTATTATTAAGTCCGCCTTTTGTTATGATCACTTAAGTTATTTAAATAAATAGAAAAAAAAATTATTTAACAATATCTTGGAGAAAGTTGTTGGATTTTGTGAATACAAATTCCTGATGTGTTTTGAATTGTTTATACTCTTTTCGTCACAGCCTGTATGTCACATATTTTAGGTATGAGTATTATCACTGTCTAAGCGATACGATAGATAAATGATGGGTTACATTACACTTTGTAGAGGTTAGCATTCATCTTAGATATTAATCTCAAGTCTATGTTTTAATCTTATCATAAACAGACGTCAAAACAAAACATATCTATATCAGATTGTGAGTGTAAATAACAGAGATACTTCCGTGGGCGTTACCTATTACATGCCATTCGGACCAGGACATGAATTTCCCAATATTGTGTAGGACGATATAATTTGAATATAAATATAAATAGAATAACATCTAAAGGGTGGAGGTTCTCAATTCATACATGTATTCCTTGCGTCTATTTTACATGATTATAATTCTTTCTGTCGTGCGGTCCTAGCATAGAATGGGTAAACGTTTCTTTCTTGTGGGTGTCATAAGACTAATGGCTGAAGGAGCTTAATGGCTGAAGGATAATCAGCAGCGTCCGTTTTAAAACATCACCAATGCCTAAGTACGGTTACCAATCTACCTGTTAAGCGTAGCAATTACTGGAAAAACCCCCCAAGGGTTACACCTACATTCAAAGTTGGATAGTAATTGGCTGATATGTTGATAAACCAACATACATATCAAGAACATAATCAATTTTTTGACGATTTTTTTCTTACGAAGACTTACTTAGAAAACTGTTTTTTTTTTTCTTACGAAACAAACTCTTGATTCTTGTGGTTGAGGACCAATATCTGTTTTAGACATTATGTTCTAAATTTAAATATATTCCATACATCTATAGAAACACATCTAATATTAGCGTATTTCGTTATAATTTAAATAGTTTTTTTTCTCTGTAATTTAACAATAATTACGTACTCATTATTACGAATTATTTCTAACAAATCTGTCATACAATACCTTTTAAATTTGGATATTAATAGCCAGTGGCATTGTTATTATTATTATTTTTTTTATAAATAGAAAAAGCATTAATGTCACGAAAGTTAGTTGCAAAGTAAAGAATAACAAACGGATTAAAAAATTTCTAATGTTTCCAACCACAATAGGCGTTGGCAGGACATAATCCATTTCGAGGCAAACTTTTAATAATTATGTCGCATCTCATAGTCGTCTCGCAAAGAATTCGTGGCGGTTTTGTGGCGAGATTAAAAGCCGGCACCGGTCTCACTCCTAGGCGTCCAAACAAAGGACTGCTTCTTGCCTTTTTAATCACGGCCTCAGAGGGCGCCTCTACTTCTTTTTAATTAAATTCCTGGCGAGTATTCTATATTATCTAG